ACATACAGTTGTATGATAAAGTTATTGATTCAAAAAGTGTGCAGTGTTATCATGTGTCATGTCAATCAAAGCAATCTCAAAATAAAAGCGGTGATTGTAGGAGTGATGAGCAATTTATTCTAGGGGCTGTCTATCAACATTCATATATATATATATATATATATATATATATATATATTAAAGCATGGTGGTTAACATGATGGTAGAATCACATGATGCCATGAAGTTAAGACTCTCCACCAAACTTCACATTTTAATGAACAGATTCAAATAATATCCTTCATCACACATCTAAACCGACCTGTGAAAAGACTTCCAAAATTGTCTCAGTCATCTGACTGTCTCAAATTCTTACAGCTTATTGTGTTTCAGAATAACACCAGAGGCGAATTAATACCTAATTTTTGGAAAGAATGACGTTTACGATATACCACCTACGTGATCCTAAGAATTTAGCGTGTGTGTAAGCTACGACAAACGATTGATTAGTGACTCTTAGTTCTATGAATACAAAATCAAATTGTAGGAATAATTTAGACCAGAGAAACAACACACTTTTGTAAATATGTAAATTTATGAAAATCACTAGCATGACAATTGACACGTAGGCAAAGATTCAGTTAGACTTTGTCTAACGCTTCTGGTGTGATGATGAATTTAGCTACATTAATATTTCTATTTAGTTAGCTAAGGGCCTTATATATGGTGAATTTAATATGTATAGAAGGCTTCCCCCTAGGTTGATTTCTTCAGAGAGCATCTGTCAACATCTGTCCCAGTGATAAACGATCCTCGTGAATCAACCTGACTCAGAATGCATCGCTACACTACCCACTGAGTAGGTTGAAATATCATGAATTTCAGCGAAAGTTTGCTTTATTTGGCTTCAGTCATACTCTTTAAATTCTATCGAGATCTTTCATACATTGTCATCATAAGACATTGAGAGAAGTACATTTCCAGTCTTTTCACTCCTTTCACGTCTCTTTCAAACCGCGGAAATTTCTGATTGTGACTTTCAGTGAAAAGGATTTGGGTCAAATGGAATTTATCTTATTATTCCTAGATACTCTTCACCCTTTCAGCGCATAGAATTGAGTAAGTTCTGTTTGTAGGTCAACAAACTGATCATAATTTTAATCCCAATATTATGGTGACAGTGAAAATTATAGATTTGATAATTACATCAAATAAAGACTTGCATATCAGTTACTCAGAGAAGACAGATCACCAAGTATTCAGCGGACGAATTCTCATTTTTTATGATTTCATCTGCGTGTGACTGTTATCTAAGTGTTAGTCTACTGAGCTCTCTGTGTATGGGTTCTAATCGCATTCATGCCTCCAAATTCCATATAACTGGTAATACGACCTAACAGACTGAGATGCGTACGAACGTAAGTAGCTCCAGTCGCTAACGTTGACACCCAATTACTAGAATAACAATAATGACAACAGGCGGGAACAAGAGAGAATACTGTCTAACGATAAGTGGGCTTTCATCGTCTCAAACAGCAGTCAAAACACCAGAGTACTGCAGCAAGTACAAGATTTACATCATATTGACAAACAGTAAATTGTTTTTACGAGTTTTACCACGGATTGATATCAGTTAGAGTACTGGAGTACCGGACAGCTGTCTCATCCTAGTTTCGGAATCGTCGGCAGAACGAACTCACCAACAGAATTTGAACCTAGAACCTCCCGGTTACTAGACAAGATCGTATACCATACAGTCACCTTGACCAAAATCAATCGCCAGCCCATAAATTCTTACTTCTACCTATTCGTAATTTTAGCACAAATGACCACCAACCAGTGTCATTGGCGGGAAATTCGTCCTCACTCCCGACTGGATACACCTCACCGACCACGACTTCTCACTAGAAATCAAGGAAACTCCGTCTTTTGGGGTACGTACTGCCAATGGTTTCCAAGCACTAGTATGAAACAGATGTCCAGTACTCCCTGTTGGTTTTCAATCGTTCTCTAACTGATATCAATCCGTCGTCAAACTCGGAAAAATACAAATCTAATCCTTACAAACCAAATCTTGAAAACAACAAATTTACTGACACTTTCGAGTAGTTATCAACCAATGAGAATTTGACATTTACAAACTGTAGGAAATGCAAAAAGCATCGTGAGTGCCCAACAGCTGTAACATACAGTTATCCGGAGATTATCAGCGAAGTCTAAGGTTACCTTGGGAAATATTACACTAATTGACACATCATCGTCAATATTAGATGGTAGAGATAATCCTCTGTCACCTGATATTCCCCCAAATGAGGCTTTTAAGCGCTGCGCTTTTGCTGATTTGTCAAAGTAAATCTATAAAAGATTGACCACTGAAAATACTTTCAAGAGTCTAATAGCCATGAGACAAACAGATAATAAATAACTACTACAGTTTCTGTTACAGAGGCATTAAAAATGGAGCCAGAGACAACAGTGGACTTGATGACACCACTACTGGAGAAAGTGCAGAAAGATGGAAAAGTACCCGAGGATTGGAAGAAAGGATACTTATTCAAACTACCAAAGAAAGGAGACTTAAGTCAATGCAAAAACTGGCGTGGAATTATGCTTCTGTCCATTCCAAGCAAAATACTAAGCCGCATCATTCTGGAGAGAATTAAACAAGCCCTGGATGAAACACTTCGACCAGAACAGGCCGGATTCAGGAGAAACAAATCATGTATTGATCAAATCGCCACTCTACGGATCATCATTGAACAAAGCTTGAAATGGCAGTCACCTCTCTATCTCAACTTCATTGACTGTGAAAAGGCCTTCACCAGACACCGTCGATCGAGAGGTGATTTGGCATCTACTTCGCTACTACGAGGTCCCATCGACAATTATACATCTCATCCAACAGTTATACGACAATGCTGCATGCCAAGTAATCCACAACGGGAAACTTACGGAAGCCTTCGAAGTGAGGACGGGAGTGCGACAAGGCAGTCTACTATCACCAATGATCTTCCTGATTGCAGTAGATTTTATAATGAGACAGACAACGGGCAATGAGGAATCAGGCATAAAATGGACTCACACAAAAAGAGACTTGGAGGATCTGGACTTCGCCGATGATATATGTCTGATTTCCCACAAACTGGAAGATATACAAGTGAAAAGCAACAAGTTGGCAGAAGAAGCATGAAAGATAGGACTTCAAGTGAACATAGATAAAACAGAGGTGATGAAGATTCCTGGCCAACACCACCAACAGCATTAACAACAACAGACAACGATTAGCCAGCATAAATGGGAGGAACCTGAAAAAAACAACCTCCTTCACCTACTCTGGGAAGCATCGTTTCAACTACAGGCGGACGGAACTGACGACGATATCAAAGCCAGAATCGAAAAAGCAAGACAAGCTTTCATTACTCTCAAGTCTGTGTTTGGAGGTCAACAGCACTCAGCATCAAAAATAAGATCCGGATTTTCAACTCCAATGTGAACTCAGTGCCACTTATCATACGGATTAGAGACTTGGTGCATCATCAAGGGCATCTCAAACAAACTACAGACCTTCATTCAAGGTTCGATCCCCTGCCGACGCACACCTGATATCTGTGGTCGGCCTGCAAAATGTGGGCTACCGATATCCATGCTGAAAATTCCGTACTTGTACAAAAATACAGTGTGGAATCAAGCTGTAATCAAAAATGAAATAAAATAAACAGCTGTCTTCGCACAAGATCAGATGGCCAGAAAAAATTAGCAACAGAGATCTCTGGGAGCGAATCAACCAGGAACCGATTGTGCAACAAATAGGCAGGAAGAAATGAAGGTGGATTGGCTGTCCATACTCTGAGAAAAAAAACCATCATGTGACATCAGTAGACAAGTCATTGCTGGAGTGGAACCCGAAAGTGGAAGCGGCGAGTTGGTCGTCCAAGGGTGACTTGGAGGAGGTGATATGAAAATGAGATGATGGCATGTGGTCAGACGTGGAGCCAGGCGAAAACGTTAGCAGAGAACCGAACGCAATGGAGACGTGCGTCTGAAGCCCTATGTTCCTCTAGGAATTAAAGGAAATAATAATAATGTAATACAGTTTCTGTTCGGTTGTTATACTTAATTCATGTAAAAATTATTTTGGTTTCCAATAATCTGATGTATTTTCTCGTAGAAAAATGAAAATGTCAACTCTATAGAAAATATTGCAAAATACAAACAGATAATAATAAAGTGAGCAAAAGTGAGTTAAAAATATATATTGATCTTGGCGAACTTGAAAACTGGCAAGCATTCCTGTCATGACCTTTGATACACAGATAATGTTTGATGTCTCTGTAAGTGTTATTAGACAGACATAAAAAACAGAAAAAAACAACAACATTAGTTGATCATTTCAGCAATATGATTGAGTGTAACTCGAATTGAACTCTCAAGAAACAAATACAAGGTATTCTTGGAGAACTTATTCTATATAAACGTTATGTGTGGATGATATCCCACTTGCCCTACTAACGGCTTTTGGTGCCTTTCTCAGCGAAGCAAAGTCTTTCTTAAGTAGTCCAGGAAAGATTAATGGGGATCAGTAAAGGGGGATAGGTAGAATACAAGAATTGACAAACTGAGAAAGCAAAGACTGCTTTATGCCAGACTGCCTAAATTTCCTAACGTAGAATGTTAAGCAAAACATCTTTCTAGTAACTAGCAAGATGTGGGAAGACCAGGAAAGATCGGTGGAAAAACTCAGCCCAAGATACTTGACATTAGATGTATTTTCAACCTCTATGCCGTCAATGATAATGGGGCCATGTGAGCTAACAAGTTGTTGTAGGTCACGTTTTCGTCCGAAGGTGAATTTGACTATCTGACATTTAGACGGATTCAGCTTAAGACCGTTTGAAGAGGACCACTGACTAATTTCCAACAGAAAGTTATTTAATTTGGGACAATCTGACTGGGAGTTGATAGGCATAGAAACAGAGAGGTCATCGGCATGTTTAACAAAAGTGGCTACATCAGAATGAGGCAAGTCATGTAAGAAAAAATAAGACAGAAAAGGAGAAAGAACAGTACCTTGAGGAACACCAGGAACACTTCTAATGAGTACATGTGATGAAAGACAGCTGGGAGAGAAATACCATAAACCCGTATTAATGCTAAGTTGTAAGACTTATCAGGAAAGCACTGAACCTGATAGGTAAAACTGATACTTCACTGTGTGAATTTCAAAAATTCATTTTCGAACTGTAACTACACCAGAAAGTGATCGCTGTGCAGAAACTTTGAAACTACACTTAATATTGTATCAGCCATTTGTAAGGAGATTTCACCACCTACCAATATGATTTTACTGCAAATGACTAGCATTCCAAGGTTATTGGTAAAATACTGAGGAGAACTGAAATCTAACTGTCACTTCTTTAAAGTTTGAATGTTCCCTGAGATGTCTGTAATGATGAAAGTAAAATAAAAGTTTCAATGTGATAAATTTTATGCTGTTAATCAACTTACGCAGGATCTTCAATGCATTCAAATCCAATATTTTGTGACATCACTTTCCGTGCAAGCTCAAGAATATTGAAAGATTTGCATGTATGACTAGAAAGAAAGATGCGAAGAAACATTTGCGAATAATTACTGTTTCAGTCACAAGTAGAATTGTTTTGCATACGACAGCGACTACAAATTGCTTCTGAGAGAGACTTTTTAAATTTAAGTGTTGGTTTACATCGGATTTGATTTGATTAGTTGCAAAGTTTCGTCATGAGCTGACATCGGTTAGAGAACTAGGGAGAACCGGTTTGGGGCTCTTAATCAGTATGCAATCACCGGGATTCGAACCCAGGACCTTCCGGCTACAATGTCGGTCATTTTTGAAGGTTTCAATAGCTTCCTTCCATTCATTGTAAGGTGTTAAATTTTGCTTGTAATTCTTCTGGGAAGACTCAATTCTGAACTTATGGAAAATCTTTGCAACTGCAGAGAAGCAGGTTGTGTTAGAATAATTAGTCAAAGTTAATCTGTTTCATGCAGTAGATATAGTACAACTAAATACGGAATACTCTCAACTCAGGCTGTAACGGAATAACTATTTTGAAAACCCATCCTCAACTATCTATTCACCACAATGCTACTTATTTAGACACTCCAAATGACTTTGTAATTATGATCCTTTGTTCTTCTGGACTGTATATCGTTATGCTGACGTTCGGATATCGTCTGTTGGCTCAGTTCTTATTATTTGTCTTCATTCCTGTTTAATCTCTAATTTTATTGCTACTTTTTATGGTGATTGTGTTTTGATGTTCACAATGTGTTGTTTTAGGACTGCGACTTTGGGTGAGTCAAGGTGCTTTCGATTTTAGAATGCATGTAAGAAGGGATTGGCGCGTGGTTCTTGCTGAAGAAATTTTGATACCACCTTGTTGGGAATATTCTTTTTGATTTTCACGACCTTCATACGGTTGATTCTGGTCAAATACACCTGTTGTATAGCACTTACCTTATACTCGGGAAACTATAGGATCTGTTTAGCTGTCTAACGGCATATGTGCATATATCACTTCAGCTGCTCCTGCGGAGCCAGGTACATAGGTCGATCTATGCGGGTTTTATCAAAACGTGTTAGAGAACATCCTTCAGCATGGCTGCAAAGAGGAGGCACTGGTCGAATCACAAGCGAAATAACTGAACAGCTTGTCAATACCTGTCACACAATCTCAACTGACTCGTCTATCATCAGAGTCATTTACAAAGTAAACAAAAGCCTACCAAAGGCAGTGTGTTTCCGACTTCTTTATACTGCGGAAGCTCTCGCCATATGTTCAAAAGAAACTAGTCCAGCCTTTACAACTACCATGAACCTAGTTCAGTATGTTCTCTTATCCTTCAGTTTTTTTTCATGTTCTATGTGTGTGTAGTTTTCTCCCTTTGCTTTCATTCAGTTCATCCCACCCCAAAAAATCGATTATTTTAAGTTTTTTTCCATGCTCCTCCTGATCTCACTTGTAATCCGTTTAGAATAACCATTTTACAATTATATTCTAATCCTGTGTAATTTTTTGTTTCTATGCCTCTTGTAATCTATATTCACACCTCCTAACTTACATGTCAAGTTGAAAATTTTGATTTCAGTCTGTTTCTATGCTCATTTTGTTCACACCTGTAATTCGTTCTATCCCTGCATCTCTAAGCGTCCTGTAATTCATATCAAGTTGAAAACAATTATCACCTTATATTCGACTTTAAAGTTATTTCTCCAGTTATCAAATATTAATTTTGCATACGTTGTAACTGTTTTCTAATCCTATGAAATCTTGTCTCTAAGCCCCTTGTAATCTATATTCCCACCTTCAAACTTTCATATCAAGTTGAAAATTATTATCACTTTCGTTACTATGTGAAATTCAACAAATATTAATAGTATCCATGTAAACTAATCTACATAAATGCGATTGTACAGCTTTTGAGAATGAAATGGCCGAAAAGATACACATCTTATTCTTTTCAATCTAAAGGCACTTTGACATTTTATGATTGTCGAGTAGCAGGTACCTCAGATATTTATTGCAAATAACAGTCGTTTTACAATCATCAGGACAACTTTGTGTTGCGCGCAGCTCAGGTTAGTTTTGTTTAGCCATGCAGTGGGATGCAAAGATCTGTTTCCTGCGTACAGACCGTAGCACTTGGGATTTGATAGCAGAACGGGTTATTTATTATTACGCACACATATAGTCTGTATTTCAACCTGTTTTCTTAATTCATTTAAGTAGTGTGAAGTTTAACTCAGACGTCAACAGAAACGTGATAAAATCTTGAGTATGCAGAGATTTGATTAGTACTAATTTCGACATCGCCTCGAGTTGACACCAGTTGAGTGCTAATGAAAACCAAGAGGCACTGGTTAGTTATTTCCCCCTATCTTTGGCCTATAACAGTGCGTACTTATTATCCTCAGTTTTAATGTCACTCACTATGAACGTTTACTATTATCAGCTGCAATTCGGTGATATGTGAATTAGAATTCCACCAATTCATGGTGAAGCTCCATTGCTAATATATTCCTTCACACTTATTATCCGTTTCAATCAATCCGCTGCATCGGATCCACTGAAGTGATAAATACAACACTTAGTAAGGAATTACCCTCTGAGGATGTTGTGCATTATTATTTGGTGATTACAATTTAACAGATACTGAACGATATTTTCATATTCATTCATCACTTCCTGAGAGTGAGAACTACTTTTTAAGACTCTAACCCAACATTAACTACGATTAAATAAATTGAAAATGAATTAATGTTGTGTAAATTAACTTACTAATATTCTGTATTCGTCAAACTGTGGACTAACTTCACTGTTATATTGTGAACTTGAGGGTATTTTAACAATGGCAGTTCGACACGTGAAAATGTCCTAAGAGAAGAAGAAGGAATGATGATGACAAAAGCTGAGTCATACACATGATATATTCATTCATTATTATAACTTTGCCTGATAACGTAGATATCCATTTTAAGTTTGATAAAAAAACAACCGATTTAGCCAAATAAAATGAATGTGGAATTAATGATGGATTGTGCTGCTACTATAGATAAAAAAAATAATATCTGACTTATGAGAAAGAAACAGAATTTGTTTTTACGAGTTGATCACAGATTGATATCAGTTAGAGAACCTTTTTGATGTGGTTTTGTTCTCTGAGCTGGATGGTTAGTTTGCGAAGCTTTCATCACCTTACTGGGTGACATCTTCAGCGCATACTTCAATTTGAAGTGAGCTTTTAGATTTCTCCACGAGTTTATTAATCATCTCTCCTGGTCGGCGACCTTGGACGTGATTGGTTGTTTGTGTGTGTTTTCACACCTTCTAGGTTACTTGTGTTGGAACTGATTGTTTCTTTGACTTGAACTTTGACCCTTTGTGTGTGAAGTCTCTTTTTTATTGGTTGATAAATTTTGTCTATCTCGATGTGTCCATTGATTGATGATCCACTGGAATGCCAAGCTTCTAAAAATTCTCCAGCATTCCTGTTGTTTCCTCTGTCCAATATTTGAACGTTGTCTCAGTCGAATTGATGTCCGTAGTTGTCTGTGTGTAGTGAAATGAGGGAGTGGATATCATGTCTTTTGACGGCTAGCTTATGATCGTGGATACGAAGACGAAGGGGACATCCCCTAGAAGGTGTGAAAACACACACAAACAACCAATCACGTCCAAGGTCGCCGACCAGGAGAGATGATTAATAAACTCGTGGAGAAATCTAAAAGCTCACTTCAAATTGAAGTATGCGCTGAAGATGTCACCCAGTAAGGTGATGAAAGCTTCGCAAACTAACCATCCAGCTCAGAGAACAAAACCACATCAAAATCATCCACCTGAGCTACAAATCTTCTCTATCATATCTAAATTAGAGAACCACTGAAAACTGACAGGGAGTATAGGACAGCTGTTTCATACTAGTGCTTGGGAATCATTGCACTCACCATCAGAGTTCGAACCCGGAACCTTTCGATTACAAGGCAAGATCGTATATTATACAGCCACTGGGACCCGACTCAATCGCCAGCCCATGAATTCTAACTTCTACCTATTGGTGATTTTAGCATAACTTACCACCAATCATTGTCATTGACGGGAAATTCATCCTCATTCCCGACTGGATGAACCTCACGACATTTCACTAGAACTCTAGTAAACTCCATCTGTGGTAAGTCATTAACGAGCATCAGATTCATTTTCAAGAGTTGGTTTGTAAGGCTTAGATTTGTATTTTTCCGAGTTTGATCACGGATTGATATCAGTTAGAGAACGATTGAAAACCAACAGGGAGTACTGGACAGCTGTTTAATCCCAGTTAGAATCATCGGTAGTACGCACCCACAAGATGGAATTTCCTGGAGTCCTAGTAAGAAGTCGTGAGGTGCATCCAGTCGGGAGTGAGGATGAATTTCATGCCAGTGACATTGATTGGTAGCTACGCTAAAATCACGAAGTGTTAGAAGTAAGAATTCATGGGCTGGTGGTTGAGTTGGATCAATACTGTTGACCATATATTTGTTGAGAGATTCAAACTGAGACTACATAGTGTTGTTCCGGTAACAACCGCCTTCAATCATCAGCTAAATAGTCTATTATTTACGTCTTTTAAATAACCTATCGGTTATGTGGGTCCAAAGTCTACAAGAAACGTGGCCTTCTTCAAAGTTACACACAAATCTTACCAACAAATCCTAACAGTAACAAAGTCATGGATTATTTAGCTCTACTTGGCTGATTCCTAACATCTGCCATCACCGATAATACTTTAATTGTGGTAGACTCGATTATGCGGAAGACAGGAATAATTAGAACCGATAAGAGAACTCTAGAAGGTTTGTACTTAGATAACGATTTATGTTTAGTGTCATATAAACTCGAGGACTTACGGGCGAAAACCGACAAACTGGCAGAACGAGCAGAAAATACAGGAGTACAAATGAACATACAGGTGACAGAGATGATAGAGATAACCACCCAACCAACAGCAACAGCAACAACAGAAACCACCAGTCACCATCGAGGGAGAAATTCGGATGGAGTCACTTCCTTCACTAATCTTGGGAGCATCGTTTTGAATACAGGCAGTCAGCAGTGGTGAGGATATTAAAAGCAAGATCGGAAAGGCAAGACAAATATTCATCACTGTGAAGTCAGTTTGGAAATCTTTGCATTCAACACTAATGTTAACTCAGCCAGTTCTCCAATATGGATGAGAAACGTGGCTCAAAAAACGTTTTCAAAAGGCTTCTGCAGACTTTCGTCGACAGCCGCCATCTTCCCTGGCTAGTTCCATACTAAACATCAGATAACCATAAAGGATAAGTCAACAACGAGGAAGTCTGTGAACGAACCAATCAAGAACCTATGGTTAAACAAATATTATGAAGGATGCGGAGATCAATCGGGCGCACGCTGAGGAGATCGTTGAATGACAACGCGCTTAATGCAGGCCATAAATTAAGTTGAACTCAAATGGGAAATAGTGAGCTAGGCGTGAGTCTGAGAGTAATATGGAGGCGACCATGTGTGAAGAGGAGATGAGAGCCTATGGGGAATCAAGGGGCCAGATGAAGATGACTGTAAAAAACATGACAAAATGAAGATATTCTGCTGATACCGTATGTTCTACTGAGAATTCAAAAAGATAAAAGTGCAATACAGTAGCAACATCTTAGCTTGTCGACATCTGGCTACCAATTTATGTGGTATTACACTACTGTTACTTCTTTTTCAACTCATTGTCTCTTTTTTCATTTACTCTGTGTTCCCCGTCATCATTTACATCTCGGCAAGTGTCTTTAACTGATTTATCTCAGTTTTCATTTTCAGCAGTGTCACAATTTGTGTTACAGACCTTTCATAAAACCGTTCATGTTTGATCATCCTGGCATATTTTGTATTCTAAATGGAATGATATGGGCTATTCGTTGTTGTTATATTTACACTTCATTGCCTGATATCTTCTCGCTAAGACTTAACAAATTGCCTCGTTTGTTGATCAAAAAGTACCAAAACACACACCTGATTGATCATTTTGAAACAGTCACTTCTCTTTATGAATTTAGACAAAGCAATAGAAAGACGTAATTTGTCTGAATTGTGTAATGTGTATTTGCACAACACATTTCGAACAATCTGATCACACACATGGAATATATATGAAATTAATATAGAGTTAAGAGGTGAAAAAATAAACTTAGATCAAGTTAAAAGGACATATTGAAGGTGAAAATACCAATGAAGATCACTAAACCAAATAACAGAGGTAATAGTACATCTACTATGGCTGATATCAAAAGAAAGTCTACCAAGGAATCTCGTTTAGGGTGATGACGAATTGTTGCTTTGAACGCATAAGGGTGGTTTAAACTTTCTAATTGCTAGCTAGGGCTTCCACAAACTTTAGGATACACCTCAAACACGTTTTATGGATAGGTTTAAAAGACGTTTAAGCATCATTTTTATGTCCTGTCTCTATAATATGTTTGGCAATTAGTTCTGAGGATTCTATTTACTTATGAAGTAGAAGCCAGCTCTTACTTGCAGAGCATATTCCTAAATGGCTATTTCATAAGCGAATAGAATCCCCAGAACCCATTAACTGTGAGAACAGCAGACCTAGCCCCTCTATTGCCAAACATACTATAAAATTGATCTCCCCACACTTCTTTTAAATCTATCTGTAAAATGTGTTTGAGGCGAACCCTAAAGTTTCTGGAGGCCTAAGCTAGCGATTAGAAAGTTTAAACCAGCTTTATGCGTTCAAAGAAACAATTCGTCATCACACTCAACCACCTTCCTTGGTAAACGTATTTTGATAGCAGCCAGGGTAGATGTACTGGTTCCTCTGTTATTTGGTTTAGTAATCTTCACTGTTATTTTGAACTTCAATAAGTCCTTTTAACTTAACCTAAGCTTATTTTCTCACGCCTTAAATTTTTATTAATTTAATACATATATTCCTATGAAAAGTCCGTGTGAGTAATATTCTTGTGCAAAGAAGTCTAATGAATGATGTTACAATTACAGAAGAAGTAAACCAAAAATTTGGTTAAGTAAGTATTTCAACTTGTTACCAAGAGAACATTCTGCAGGTACTTAGCTAATTTTGATTACAGCTTGATTGTGCGTCGGTGGGACAATGGTTAGGACTCTCGCCGACCATGCATATGGTCCGCGGTTCGAGCCCACGCCGACGCATACCTGATATCTATGGTCCGCCTGCGGAATTTGGCGATGCCTTCTGTGTGCATCGAGAGAAAATACTAAGAATTGAATTCCCAATGTCAATATATTTCGAAATAGGTGAAAGAAAGTAAATGGAATGGTCAGCTGACAAATTTCTACAGCTGGGTAACCCTTGGACGAAAACGAAACCTGGTCCGGTCGCTTGCCACTCGCATTCGGCGCATATGTAGTACTGATATTGTGGAAGATGAGTTATACCTTTTGAGGAAAATCCTAAAAGGGAATGGATTTCCACAAGGTTTTGTAGATAAGAATATACAGTCAAATCCTATAAAACGTGACTTATCATCAGTACCCAAGAAAACACTTTACATGAGCTTGAAATCCAAAGGGGACTTAGCTTCCGATATCATGAAACGAAGGATATCACAGTCTTTAAAAAGAACATTCTCTGTTGTACCTCTGAGAATAGCCTTTACTAGCCGACCATTATTGCTCAATAACCTGAAGGACAAGATCCCGCTGTTGACCAACTCTATGTGTGTTTATCAATTCACCAGCTCGTGTGAAGCTAGGTATATCGGTCGTCCAAGTCCAGTTTTTTCCAAGAAAACACCATCCTGCATGGTAGTTAAGAAGAGGTGGAAGTTGAGCAATAAGAAGCGCGATCATTGAACATCTGGTCAATATTGATCACTCTATCTCTATAGCTTCCGCCTTTAAAGTCATCTACAAGGCAAAGAGTAATTTACCCAATTCCCTATGTACCCGACTCATCTGTATTCCTAAAGCTTTGGCTATCGAAACAGAAAAGCTAGATCTCTGCGTACAGAAAAAGTTCTTTCAACCCCTCCAACTTTCATAGTCTTAATCCCTCTATGCTAAAGTATGGTAATGCCTAATCATATTTTAGCTCTACCAATTTTTCATTTTGTCTATTCAATTTGTAGTCTCTTCCTCATTACGTCAATTGTTACTATTACTACTGTCACTGTGTACTGTACCCGGTATTATTTCATTTGTTCCACCTGTCATTCTAAATCAATTCTTTTTTACAACGTTAAATTCTATGCTATCAAATTTCACACAATATTAAGTAACGTTTTTATTTTTATGTTATTCGATTTGTCTACTAATCCTATAGATGCACACCTTTTTCAAGTTCTATCCATCCCATGAATTATTCTATATATGACATTAATGTGTTTTGCCTCTTGACATTTAACTACGATTATAGTCACCAACATTTTAGTTTTAATTGTATTTCATACTACTATTATTACTTTATGCATTCGCACCTATGATTAAATTCCCTCACCGGATATAACTTCCTAAAAACCATATATATACGACTGTACAGCTTGATGATAAATTCGTTGGAAAGAGTCTCTTCGCTGAATCACTTGTGTTGATTTTCTAAAAGTAAATATCGACAAGATCTCCACACATTCCTAAAACTACGCTTTTCTAATAATAATAATAATAATGTAAGATCAAACATAATATTGGCAGATTTGGGTAGAATATTTGGTCTAAGAAAACATGAAGGACTAAGCAATAAGCAATAAACAACTCACCTGTTTTCATCAAATGGTCGTTCAACTGATCCATTCAGTATCACATAAACATGACCAGACGCTGATTTCGCATACTGTAATAAAGAATAGTCATACAATTAGATAACTATTTTATTTATACTAGGAATCAGCAGGTGGATGCTTCTGTTTGTCGTAGAAATGTCATCCTAGTCATTCTATCGTACCTTAGTTATTCTTCTGCAAACACTGTTTTCAAATTTCCAATGGACCCTTCATTCGACTAGTGGTTGTATTCACTAATTGTGAACCCACCAATTAACCAGTTAAATCAAATTTTATAATACGGCGTAACTCACGGAATGATTGTTTGGAGAACACCTTCTCAGTGATCTATTTACAATTGGCTAGCGATCGCGCTATGTCGTCGACTGGCAGAAGTTAGAACTCATGCACTGGTCATTGGATTGGGTTACAGTGCCTTAATGTTCTACAAGCTCGCTTTTCCTGTAACCAGAATGTTGTGATTTTGAACCTCTGTGGTTGGTGCGTACTGATGAAGAGTCCTGGGCACTAGAAACGAAGTAGCTGTCGAGTACTGCGTGCAGGTTTTCCAATTGTTCTCTAACTGATGTCAGCTCATGATGAAACCATGTAACAATGATGATGTGTTGTCTTACAATGGGATTTTGTTTGAGTGAATCAAGGTCAATCAAGGATACGGGACCGTTTGAGGGAAGTTATCCTGTGTGATTCTCGCTGACAGCAGTTTGGTGAACTACTCTTGTTCTACAGTACTTGTTTTGTACCTAGCAAGTTAACTTGTCTGTATATCTGTATAATGGTGCTGTTGAGGTGGTTTTGGGTTTTTATGTTGTTATTATTGAATAGAGTCACACAAATAAATTCCAGCCACGAACAGTCTTATTTTCTCTGCCTTTGGAATGTTCTGTGACTGTACATGTCTCAAAAAGGTTGTGGACAGCCAAGCAGTATGGCGCAGAGATCTCTTTCCTAAGTCCAGACAGTGACATGAGAATACCGTTCTCTGAAGGTGGTTTTGTTTCACTGGCAGCGGCTGATATTTCTCTTTTGAAACATTTCCTAACTAGGGCATTTGTTTCTTTTGGTTTCCTGAGTAATTAATTAAATTATTTTTCTAATAATATTATCACTCTATAATCGTGACAATCGTGCGATTAAATATGTGTGAGCAGACTGATTTTATCAAAATCACTTTTCCCTGCTGAAATTCATCATTTTCGTTAATTCTGTTGTGTACAACTCTCTCAGCATGCAATGTATTCCGTCGAGGTAAAAGAAAAATGCACCGTTTTGATTCACTCCATATTCATTTCAAGTTTATGTTAAAGATTCGCTGTTCTTCATGACTAGATGAATTTTTTTTTACCCTTCACGTTCCCCAGTGGAACATAGGGCTTCAAGCCAGTGGCTTGAAGTTTCTGTAGCGGTGTTTAATTTTACGGGATAGGGCTGCTAGCCTCATGCCCAACCTTACCTCTTTACCAGCATTAATTCTGGCTTAGCGAGGTACAGGAGTGCGTCCGCTGTGGATAGATCCCTGGACCATGTGCATGGTCTAGATGAATGCGTTACCTGCATTACTTTATACAATTGTATTAAACTTGGTTTGTTAGTTATTGGTGTTAACATGATAATAGATTGAAAAATTGTCCCTCTCATGAGTGGGACGATGAATCGGAACCTCTGGTGCTTACAGCCGGACTAGTAGATATGCAGTTCCACCCAAGAGAGTTGAAAAACCCGAATCTCAAATATATCGCACACGCTTTAGTGTGCGCCAGATTCATTTTGGGATCTACCGGTGATCATGAACAACATCCACTACAGGTTGCTGTTAGTAAACTAGTATCACCTACTACTCCTGCGAAGTGCCAAACTGAGTTGAACTCAAGGCTAGTTAGTCCCTCCCTAAACAGTATGAATTATTACTAGCTACACTTGCAAGTTATTATAATGACCAGTAAAGGCACTCATGACTAAAAGGGACTCTCTGGAAATATCTGCTAGATTTTGCGAGATCCTTGCAGCCTCTCATAGATCCATTCCAGCCGACAGCGATTATGACAATATGTGCAGTGCTCTCATGCGTGAAACGTCGTCTGAAACCCTGGGAAGATCACTTCGAGAGAAAGTTAAGCTGACCAACAGCGCTGGTATCCAACATCATTAACTACAGTGCTCCATTGTAGGTCAATATCTACCAACCAAACGAAGAAAGCAAGGTGATGGCAAGATTTTCGTCAGGGGATTTACTAGATGGTTCAGGAATGCATTAGAATATTCCACTAATGTGGAATGAAGCCATTGTTACACCAACCTTTAAAAAAGCACTGTTTAACGTGTGTGATAGCCACAGGGTTAATTTTCGCCACTAGTCGCGTCTGAAATATAAGATGCTGTCCTGCTCTGTAGGCTGTGCAAAGCAAGTAGGGAACTGATCCTCTAGGAGCAGACCATATTCTGTCCAGGCCGTGGATGCATTGATCATTTGTGCTCCCTTCGTCAGTGGCTAGAATACCGTCGCTCCAATTTTATACCAGCAATCGTTGTCTTCCGTTGTAAGAGGATATCGTCTTACTGTAGAATAACGTACTGGCCGCCCATATCGTATTTAATCAGTTTGAAATCAGTGTCTATAAGTATGGTATGTTTTGTGCTATGTTCAAAGTACTGCCTCAGGGTTGGCAGGAGCTTGTATTTGCACTCATTCTTGCAAGTAAACCACATAAAGTTGTCAACAATTTCGTATATCTAGGTAGTGCTAGTGGAGATGTGAAGGATAAGGTCTCTAACCACGAAATAAAAGCAAACGCAAATTTTAGCCACCTAACAAGTCTTCACTAGGTCAGCCTGACTTTCGAAGGTCAGGATTACAGTGCTTTGGTACGCTCAGTTTTCCTCTAAGCCTGTGAAACCTTGCCTCTCACGGATGAGGGTGTGAGGTGATCAACACTGTCTCCGTATCTTTCTATACAACGATGGTCACTTTTCATTGAGTGCGGTCACCCTAAAACACTGACTTCTTACTTTAGGCATGTGCTACAAATGTTATCTCAGAGGCTCCCATACCTGTTGGTGTTCCCTAGCCCTAAGACTGAATGGAGAAGGCGGAAAGGTGGTCAGTCTATGACGAAGTGTTATAGAGTGAAGGATATGTATGTTAGGTCAGCATCTATTGGTGCATCAGAACTTTCTGGTTGGAGCCTGAGTAACACTTCCAGTCGGTGGTTCGGGACAGTATGAGGTTTGGCCAAGAATTGTAGTGAATAACGAACATGTTACAATTTATTTTCTTTTTCGGAAGCAATAAATAATGAATGATCGTAGTAAGTATGCTTGTTTGCTCCCCGGACGACCTCCCACATTTATTCTACCTCTATTTTCCATATAAATTATTCCTGAATTATTTTTGTGTGTCTCATGTCTCGGGTCCCACACTGTACCAAGTCTGCGCTTTTAATAATAGTTATAACAAAACTAAAATACCATTTCGCATACATGGTGGTACTTATTGTAGATGATTTGGAAACACGGACATAAAAGTAGAGTATCCACGAAGAGTTCCAAACTAGGACGAAACAGCTGTCCAGTACTTCCAGCTGGTTTTCCAATGGTTCTCGAACCAATATCAGCTCATGATGAAATCTTGTGACCAATCAACCAAATTCCTACAAACCAATACTTGAATATCATTGAGATGCTCACTGGCGACCGGCCCTATTCAAGTAGGTAGTTACCTGGGGTTCTAGTAGGAAGTCGTGACCAGTAGGGTGCAGCAGGTCGGCTGTGAGGACAAATACTCGCCGAAGTCACTGGCTAGTGATTGCGATATATCGCCAATTGGCCATTTGATTGGGTCCCAGTGGCTTAATGGTCTACAAACCCGCTTGCCTTGTAAGCAGAAGGTCATGGGTTCGAGTCCCGGTGAGTGCGTACTGTGAAGATTCCCAAACTAGGACGAAACAGCTGTCCAGTACTCCCAGGTTTTCCAATGGTCCTCTAACTAATGTCAGCTCATGATGAAATCCTGTGACCAAAAAACACATACACTAGTCCCCGCCCTTTAGTTACCATTATCACCATTGCACAAGAAAGTCTTAAATGTGTTACTATTAGGTGTAAAATAACTTTTCAGTGTTTATTATAACAAAGGTCTTTCTGCATTTCCCAGTGAAGGAAACAAGACGATATTGCATTTAAAATCTATCTCCCAGCATCCAGCCAACTTCAGAAGCAGAGTCAGACGTCGGTGATTTACCATTTTTAGACTGCCTGTCCAGTTAAGAGGAGGGAAAACGGACATTTTATTATATCTATATTCAGTGAGAAAACCAACTCCAACAAATATTTAGACTTCGGTTCATCGTATCTCATCAACGCAGAGTTATCAATTGTTTCAAGTCTTCTTAGATGAGCACACTCTTTGATGCTAACGGATTACAAAAAAAAACAATACTGAGACTCTCAAACAAAATAAATACCCATGGAACTTCATCAACAAAATCAACACTGACAATAAGTATTGTCGCAAACGTATTCCGAAAACATGGATCTCAACAGTTGTCATTCCATGTAGAGCGGAGATATTGGACGACATCAGAAGAGTACTCAATTAGCCCGACATCAGAGTTTTCTTCAAAACATCAGACACACTACGAAACAACCTTGTCCATATAAAAGACCAAATCCCTATCGATTATCTATTGTGTCTATAAAATAAATCGCTTAGAATCTCATGCGATATACAACGGACAAACATCGCGGTAAATCAAAAGAAATTAACACCGTAGAGCATACCTTCGACCACCGAGAAATCCAGTCGAACTAGATAAGCTTGAAAATTCATCAGTCAAAGGTTTACACGCTATAGAATCAGTCCAAGAAATTGACTTTGACAATATTGATGTCATCAACCGGAAAAATTTCAGAAATCACAAAGAACGTCTAATATCAGAAGCACTTCACACAACAAATGGAATCCAAATTGTCTGAATAGGAATGATGAACTAAAACAGAATCTGACAACATCCCCCTCCCCCATGAAATGAGAAAATCAACACGAATGTGATAAGCAATTTCATTATGTAAACACATCCTGCTTTTATAATTCCTTACACAATCTACCCCTGGTTTTGTTATCTCTACCGATTGGCCGACTTGACAACCAAAAATGACTCTATGCTGAGGAACGATGATTAAGTTGTTATATCGAAGGTTTAATTGTACTTTGATAAGGCTACTAGAAGCACTAAATGGCGAAACGTCTGTAAAACCAATATCGTTTTGTTTTTCATTCATTGGGAAATACCAAAAACCTTTAGTATAATGAATATCATACACCCAGTGCCCAAATTTCTTCCAACTATTGAAAGTGAACTTGCTTTGGACATGAATAACTCTTCAGTGTATTTTCAATCAGGGGACAAATAAAAGTAGAAACATGAGAATTGATAGGTGGAATTCTGACAAGATGCATTGCAGAGTTTCTGTAGTATTGACATAAATAAAGAGGAGATATCGAGAACTTTACGTCAGATTGTTAACAAAGCTGTTTAGATTGAAAGATTCTGTAGTATCAAGTAACTGAAATCGTTTTGTCTATCAAATGTGATATAGTGATCGTGGCGTCAACAACATGTCACTGAACAAACATAAAACGCTTTTGAGCTTTGCGTTATTTCTTCGCTATGAGTATGTGGAATCAGTCTGCCTTGAAACGTTTTTTATCGCATAGTCTGTATATCACTGTGCAATACAGCAAAAAATAAGACTAACAGAGAATTACTTCAAGTGTCCATGGAGCGATATCAGTTAGAGAACCACTGAAATCCATAGAGTACTGGACAGTTGTTTCGTCCTAATTTGGAACTCTTTGGCAGCACGTATCCACAAATTCGTTGACCATTCCGCCACATTAGGACACGATTCAATCAATAGCCAGTCGGTGAATTCGAATTTCTACCAATTCGTGATATCAACTCACGATCAAGCTGGAGACAAATCAATCCTTACAAACTAACGCTCGATAACAAGGAACTGCTCACTACCACAAAATTTTTCGTGTCGAATTTTTCGGTATTTGCATAAATATTATTAGGTAACCTGGGTAAATGGTAACAAATAATAATAGTAAGTTTGAAATAAATACCCACCGCTTCAGAAGCTGCATCCCAGAAAGCTCCAATAACTCTACTTTTTGAATTGCAACCACAAATAGTTCCATAGTGCATATCACCTGTTAAACTGGTATTACACCAGTTCATATCATCAAGGATAAATCCTAAATGAATAAAATAAATTGATTAAAACAAGGAATTTTGTGACTGCTTCACTTTAAGGATACAATTAAGGCAAACTCTTTAGTTCAATGATAAGTGAAGTTAGACTGCTCAGTTTTGTATCCCGTAAAATATATTTTTTCCTTACAGGCATGAATAATTGTCAATCGTCATGTTAAACTTCCTAGATATTATCTTAATGCTTTAGAGAATTATCTCTGGTTATTTTGCGTCATCAGATTTTTGATGTACGTCAGAAAAAAGTGGCATCGTAGCATTATTTAGATGTTTTACAAAAGCATTTTGCTTTTTTCCAGTAGTTGGATATATATACATACTGCGTTTCCCTCAAAGTTCTTGGTGATGAGGAGGGAAGTAGTTGGTCACGTCTTTTATCAGCCTGTTTTCAAACATTTTTGCTTTCTCGCTAGCTACTTGAGCGAACTAGTGACACCATCCATGAGATTCACAATTGGCAAAGTAGGAAGCCGACATAGAATGGAACCATACAAAAACATCTTGGTGGATCTGGACTTCGCCGATGATATATGTCTGACTTCCCGAAAACTGGAAGATATGCAAGTGAATACCAATAAGCTGGCAGAAGAAGCATCCAGAGAAGATAGGACTTCATGTGAACATAGAGAACACAGAGGTGATGAAGATTCTTAGCTAACGGCAAAAACAAGAATAACAGACCACTATCAGCCAGCATAAATGCGAGAAATCTGAAAGAAACAACCTCCTTTACCTACCTACCTACCTACCTACCTTGGAAGCATTGTGTTTCAATTGCAGCAGACGAAGGGATGATGATATCAAAGCAGCGAGGATCGGGTAAGCAAGGCAAGCTTTCACTACTCTCAAGTCTGTGTGGAAATCAACATTCAGCAATCAGCATGGAAAATTAGATCCGGATTTTCAACTCCAATATGAAGTCAGTGCTATTAACTATACGGTACAGAGACTTGTCGCTGTGCCGCATCACGAAGAGCACTTCGAACAAACCACACAACTTCATCAACAGCTGTCTCCGCTCAATACTACTCAAGATCAGATAGACGGACAGAAAAGATCAGCAAAAAAAGAAGGATCTCTAACGATGAGAGAACCAACCCAGCAGGAACCAATTGTGCAAGAAATATGCAGAAGAAATGGACGTGTTTTGGCCATACTCTGAGAAAACAAACCATCAAGTGACATCACACTCCAGGCTCTCTCTTTCCGAGTGGAACCTGAATGGGAAGCGGCGAGTTGATCACCAATGTGAGGGTGACATGGAAAAGGTCCCGCAGTGAAGAGGAGATGAAAGCATATGATCAGACGTGGAGCCTGGTGATGAAAACGTTGGCAGAGAACCAAACACAATGGAGACGTGTGGCTGAAGCCTTATTTTCCTCTAGGAACTAAGGAAACAATAATAATAATGAAGTTGTTAGCAATTTATCGTGTACACATTCTGACGGATGATATTAGGTGGTTTGACCTGATTCGGTTTATTATCTGAGTCGAAATCGGGCACAGCACTGTTGAGCTCGGCACCAAACGAGTGAAACAACAGTGATGTGTCTAGATTACTGGCTAGCAAGCACTACTGCTTGACATGAGTGCTAAACGACTACTCATCTCATTTATGGTATCCAGCAGATCACATATTGCGGTGATCTGAATAATTTGATTTCCGAGAGGAAACTGTGATGAAAATTTCATCATTTGACCTGTGCACATTGTAAATTGTTAACTAATCACGGAATAGAGGATTTGGCGCGCAGTATGTCATAATGTACGTTTCCTTAGGAAATAGTCATGTACAGTGACATCAAAAACGAAAATCAGTAACCGATTCGCACAGTCCTAATTCCTCTCTTCTTTAATATATGTGTAAAACTTGACCACTGTGGTAGTAAGTAATTCCATATTGGTTTGTTTATAGATATATCACACAGTCAGTGAAACAGTATTATTCACTGGATGACACAGTTTCTAACAAAATTCATTACTGTTCATAATCATTTCATCAAGTATAATCAGACAACTTCGAAGCATGAGTTTTACAGTTTTCTTTATTGTTTGCTATTCGTCGTCGTATGGGTAGCAGAATCTTCCAGATGTCGGCCTGGACAGGTGTTAAATCATTCCTATTACACGAGATGGCAGTTGATTTGATAATTAAAACTTTCGTTGTCAGTCTCTCCCTTTTAGTACTGTCATCTCATTCCATGCATTCTAATGTATGGTTGTGTGTGTACTTGCATGTAGTGAGTGCAGTGCTATAGCGGAACTATTCTCCAGATTTCTTATCTTATTATTCGGGTCAACTAATCTAGGTTTCACTACGTTTTTATGCTCGACTAGTCTGACTGCCTCTATTCTACTAGTTAGACGTATGTATTTGACCTGACAATCATTGCAGGCAGAATGTTAGATAAACTAAATTGTTTTGTTTTATTGGCTCCACTGGCAGGATCCTTTAACCGACATACATAGGTCAAAGTAGTAGAAAGGGGTTAGTCAGTTAGACTGGCCGAACATAAAACCTAGCCAAATCTAGATAGGTTGACCTGAATAAGTTAAGAAGTCTGGAGATAAAGTTCAGCTATGGCAGTCACCGCATGCAATCACACACACACACACCCAATAAATAGGATGGATGGGATAGGATGACAGTTTTAAAATCTAGTATAACAGCTGGGTGGAGAGAGAGACTGACAACGAAAGTTTTAATTATCAAATCAACTGCAAACTCGTGTAATAGGAATGATTTAACACCTGTCCAGGCCGACATCTGGAAGATTCTGCTACCCATACGACGACGAATAGCAAACAATAAAGAAAACTGTAAAACTCATGCTTCGAAGTTGTCTGATTATACTTGATGAAATGATTATGAACAGTAATGAATTTTGTTAGAAACTGTGTAATCCAGTGAATAATACTGTTTCACTGACTGTGTGATATATCTAATAAACAAACCAATATGGAATCCTGTCTTCTTTGTTGTGGAATCAGTCAAGATTTATGATTTTAAAAAAATCACTCCTAGAATATACTCTATACACAGTCTTCTTTATGGATTCGAATAAATGAATAAATTTAATTACTGTTCACTTCACGTAGACTTCCAATGAATGGATCTTTACAGACTTTAGATCTCATTGCTTTCTTCGTTAACTCATCAACTCACTTCAAAAATGCAAAATGCCAGCTTCTCTTAAAATGTTTCACAACTCACAAAATTTCACTTTGAATCAGTAAAATGTCTTATTTCAAAACTGAGATCTGAAGCCAGGTTCTGTTTTGACGTAGGTGAACAGTTTGAATACCGTATACCAGATAACACTTTACTCAGGATTTTCAAAACAAAATATGCACAAATTGAATTGACAATACAAAAATTTCCATAATTTTTTTTATCCAATTAGCTATAAACGAGGATTAGTCAAAACTCTGTATCACAGAGCCATTATAATATGCTCTATTAAGTAACTGGGGAAATTTCTGACTCCTGAAAAGAATTTGAGAGGATAATGTCACTCTCAACTTCATTAGCAGGTACGGAAGATCTGAAGATTTAAATATACAACACTACCAACTGTGAACAAGAAGCTTATTTCTATGTAACCCGATTTTTTAACGATAATAATTATACGGTTATAATTAACAGAAGATTAAATGCTTCATTAACGAGAACCATTCCTAAAGGCAAGTTGATTCTCGTTTTTACAAAGCAAAAAGCTTTTTGGTGCAATAAAGGGCTAGTGGATACGCTTCTTATTACAGCACTATTTGCTTGTATAAATTTATATGTACCTCTGGTTTCATTACATCGGGAGAAAGAAAGAGATGCATAGCTTCAATTTTCCGAACATATACCTTCATTGAACACTAGTAACTAGTGCGATGTCTCTAGTCCTTTGTTTAATGCAGGCTGAATTCTCTGAGTCACGTTTGCAATATAGACCACCATTATGGGTTGCTTGCCATCATGGTGCACTTTAAATTGTTGTTGCCAGATAGTTGGAGGCAATCGGCAGGAAGCCTTGGATCTAGGTTTCGTGCTCTTTAGCACTCGTCAACAAGGTGTATCTGCAAACCTGAAGGAACTCATTTACTTTCTGAGATTCGATCACCCAGTGAGAGCTGCAGTCAGAGACGTTACCATTGAGCTATTCAAGCTCCGGATTGACCTCCTATATGACTGTGTTGGGTACTTTTACTGGACACTGGTAATTCGCGAGATCTAATAGCTCAGTGGTGACGTCTCTGACTGCAGCTCTCATTGGGAGACATGGGTTCGAATCCCAGAAGGGAAAAAAGTTCCTTCTAGGTTTCAAATACGCCTTGATGTCTGGTGAGTGCCAACTAGCACGAAACCTAGGTGTCACTTAAGGCTTCCCACCGATTGCCTCCAGCCATCTAACATTTAGGAACGTTTACAAAAATGACCAGATGTCAAGGCAACAAAAGCTTTCAGTAATGCTATTGCCAGGCATCTTGTTGATGCCAGCCATTAGTAGGAAACAAGGGAATCCTTTAGAATTAGTAATATACAGTGTTATTCAGTTCGCTTCAAGTTTGCTGGAACAATCGCCACAAACGCTTTACACCCTATTTATGTGTTCAGAAACTGGACAAACTGATTGTTTTGGTTTTCCTGCAACTCCGAGCCGAAATTGTTAAACAAGTGTATGAAAGTCCCACTGCTATGTCCTTTCACCACTGTACTACTACAGTTTTGTAATAGGTAAATGATCTGCTCTGAAGTTTATTTCGTAGGATTCACCGTACAAATGATCTAATTTCATTTTGTGGCCAAGTTAAACTGTAAATACCACCAACTACCAATCAGCAAATGGCCTTGAATGGTCCAATGATTTTCATCCACGTGAGTTGAAGGTTCTGCTCCGCTTGATCTGAGTCAAACGTTATAGAAGGTAAGCTGATGAATCTAATATTTCGTAGGTACAATATTTTGCCAGGATCCATTTGTCCTTAATCCAGATTTTGTATATTTGCAGTTACGAGATTTTAAAACAGTTTGTGACAGGTGTAACTACTGAAACAGAGAAAATAGTCTCCTATCAACAGTTCAGTAGTACCAGCACTGCAGGGATATCGCGTCATGGAAAATGGAGAGAATTACTTTGATATGCGTCGGTGGCACAGTGGTTAGGACTCTCGCCGACCATGCACATGGTCCGGGGTTCGAGCCAACGCCGACGCACACCTGATATCTATGGTCGGCCTGCAAAATTTAGGCTACCGATATCCATGCTGAAAATTTCATAATTGTACCAAAAATACAGTGTGGAATCAAGCTGTAAATCAAAAATAATAAAAATAATAAAAAAAATAAAAGGAGAAGGTGTCATCGTACACGTAGATGAGTGTAAAGGTTATAACTCCATATCACGGCTTGGATATATCCACCGCAGACTAAGCCATTCTAATGATTTTGTGAATCCCATTACAGGAATACATATTAGTTCTATAGAAGGCATTTGGGGGAGATTAAAACAGGATTAGGGCCACTAACTGACCTCAGAAAGATGTGATTTATGATCATTTAGATGAATATATGCGTAGAATGTGGTGTAACGTTCCAGTTGATGCTCCACAAGTCAGAGAAAACTATCCTATGTAACATTTTTATGAAGTATTTATGCCTTTTTTTCTATAAATGAATGTTTTTCATAACCAAAAGTGCCTCTTCCACGTGATTGGTTCGTTGAGGGTCGTTCGCTGATTGGTAGCTAATGGTGCTTAAAGTTTAACTTTTCCCCTTTTTCCATGTCTGTAGTAAAATTGTGGGCTTTTCGTTATGCTGTTCCCCATAAAATGTGGTGAATCTGTTCAGAGGTGAATGAGGTAAAAAAAGAAACATTTCGATGTCAAATGTTGACATCACTTTGAGAAAACTAACCTGCAAAAGTCCGTTCTAAAGTGTAGCATTCTCGAAGATTTTTACACATTCCACGAATCACCTCGATGACTTTAGAATGAAAATATTGCTTAAAGAGAAATTGAATGAGAAGATTTTTATTCAACAGAAGCCTATTATTATTGTTATTATTGTAATATGGCACTTATAATTTGAAGTACGAGACATTAAAATGTATCATTATTAAAGAATAGCAACCACCGTGGAGGGCAAACTCATCAGTGACCTTGAACGCACAGTATTCATTGGATTACAAAACCAGCAATTATTACAGTGCCAGTGTGAACGCTTAACTCGAAATAATGTGCAAATTTGATCTTCATTTCGTTTGTAAGTACTGTTTTGACAGTGATTTGATAGCATGTTATGGTTAGGGTTTTGGTTAAGATTTAGGTTAAGGTGTTTGATTATTATTTTTATTTGTATTTTAAATTAAAATAATAATCACCACTGTGATATAAAAACAAAGAATTGAGTGTAGAGAATTTTCTTTTCGACGATTTCATTTTCATAGCCTTAACAATCGTATTCAAAAATGTCATATAAATTTGTAAATTGCGTTAATGATATTAATGTAACTGGGAAAATTATGTTATCACTTAATAAATGCTCACGCTTTATCAATTTTGTATTCAATGAAACTGTATGCTTCATTTGTAATTACATAGACTTACATAATGTAAACCTAGAAATTCCCACATCCTACCTAAAAAAGCTAATGCCTCATTGTACTCTCAGTGTCCAGTTTCTTTTCAACAATGAAATCTATAGACAAAAAGATGGGGTAGCTAGGGGCTCACCACTTGGTCCGTTGCTAACAGACTTCTTTTTGGCCAGTATGCAGAGCAGTACTCTCACGCATGTTATAAAGGGACTTACCTTCTACAACAGATACGTGGATGACACATTGATTATATGCAACGAGAACTGTGAATTGAATGAGTCATCCTGCTATCCGAAGGAAAATCTCTTTCCTTGATGTGCTACTCACAAGAAGAGCCGATGGGTCTTTGAAAAGATCTCTGTACAGAAAATCGACATAGATGGGACAACTAACTAATTTTTAAAGTTTTGTCCCCATAGACAGATAAAGGAATTTAATCCGTCCTCTTTCAACATGGGTGTGGAGACCTTGTAGCGAAGATGGTTTTGATAACGAACTCAAACAAGTGAAAGAGACCTTCACAGAAAACAGGTATTCATTACACTCCGTAGAGGCCAATAGCAAAGTACGAGCGAGAAGTATAGAGCTTGATAAGGTAGCAAAAAACGTGTTGCACCTAAACTTAGAATTTAGGAGTGACACTGCTAGTGCAATACTTAAAACTTGTCTGACCAGATCACTGAGAAAAACGTCCTTTGATACCACTTTACGAATTACCTACTCTAGCCGTCTACTGGAGCATCTTAATGTCAAGGAAATGTCACCTCGACTGTCTAATTCCATGTGTATTTATAAGTTCACCTGCTTTTATGGAGCTAGGTACATAGGACGTTTGTCGAAAGAGACATATCCCGCCGCGTACTAGAGCACCTTCCAGTTTGGCTGAGCAAAAAAGTGATGCATAGAGATATTAATTCATCCATACTGCGACATATTGTGTAGATACTGACCACGCAGCATCTGACACATCGTTTAATATAGTCTACGATGTAATTTGCCGAAAGGCACACGAGTACCTTTGCTATGTATAACAATACATAACATAAAGCCAGAACATTGTGTAGAAAAACAATTTGTACCATCTCTTCCTTTACCATGGTCTTGAATTTACTATGTAGTTGACATAACAACTTTGTTATCCTTCTTTATTCTGTGCTCCATTCTTGTTTCACTTCATTTTACTTTATGTTATCACATTCTAATATTTTATCTAGTCTACTACTTTGACAACATTTCACTCATCCCACGTTTCCATCATATTATATTCACGTATTCACATTTCTGAACGTACTTTATTTTCCGATCATCTATTTCACACTTGTCTAATGAACTTTAGGTTGACGTCTATCTATTTAGTTAGTCATTTATATATCTAATCAATTCAATTTTGACTCATAATACTAATAAATTTTGCTTTATTCCAAAAACAATACTAATGATACAGCATGGGATTTTCAACATTCAGTACAATATTGCATCTAATTTACTCAAAAACGACAAAAAAATAAAAATAAACATTACATAATAACAGTGACGAAACGTTGCTATAGTAGCTATGTAGTAAATTAGAGTATGTGATAAGGAGAAAAATATGCATAAAGTATAAAGTTGTAGTAATAATAGTAATAACAACCAAAATAAAATCGCTAAGTTATAATTAAACGATACAAAGGGTGACACCATGAAATTACAGAAAGATGAACGAGGAAAGCGTCGATTCACTTTGCTAATTACATAGTAACTTATATTTCTAACAGTCTAACAGTTTCTTCATCACATAAAATACGGACTAAATAGGGTATTGTAGAATTTTTATACTTAGTGGTGCGAGCATATAACTTCTTATATTGACTTCTCGTCCCACCTGATGAGATGCAAGGAGATAGTTGTGAATAAAGCGGGTGCAAAGGGTCTTACAGTACGACCTTTGCCCATTTCGTACAGGAATTTATGTGTCTCTCGACTATAGTATTGGCGAGCTCACGCAGTGGCATGCCACAAGCCCTGCTCACAGCATTTATTATTATTATTGTATCCTTTAGTTCCATGAGGAACATAGGGCTTCAGCTGCGCACCTACATTGCCTTCTGTTTTCTGCCAACTTTTTCACTCCGCTCCAGGTCTGTCCACATGCTTTCATCTCCTCCTCCCATGACCTCCTCCAAGTCACCCTTGCAATGACGACCAACTCGCCGCTTCCCTTTCGGGTTCCACTCCAGCAATGACTTGTCTAGTGATGTCACTTGGTGGTTTCCTCAGAGTATGGCCAGTCCATCTCAATTTCCTCCTGCCTATTTGTTGCACAATCGGTTCCTGGTTGGTTCGCTCATTGCCAGAGATCCCTGTTTCTGATCTTTTCTGGCCGGTCATTTGATCTTGAGCAGTATTGAGCGAAGACAACTATTAATGAACGTCTGAAGTTTGTTTGAGATGATCTTTATGACGCGCAGTGCAAGTCTCTGATCCGTATAGTAGCACTGACTGACTTTACACTGGAGTTGAAAATCCGGATCTTATTTTTGATGCTGAGTGCTGTTGACCTCCACACAGATTTGAGAGTAATGAAAGCTTGTCTTGCTTTCCCGATTCTGGCTTTGATATCTTCGTCTCTTCCGTCCGCCTGTAGTTGAAACGATGCTTCCCAGGTAGGTGAAGGAGGTTGTTTCTTTCAGGTTCTTCCCATTTATCTGCTGATTGTTGTCTGTTGCTGTTTGCTGTTGGTGGTGTTGGCCAGGAATCTTCATCACCTCTGTTTTATCTATGTTCACGTGAAGTCCTATCTTTGATGCTTCTTCTGCCAACTTGTTACTTTTCACTTGCATATCTTCCAGTTTGTGAGAAATCAGATATATATCATCGGCGAAATCCAGATCCTCCAAGTCTTTTGTGTCAGTCCATTTTATGCCTGTTCCCTCGTTGGTTGCCGTTGTCTGTCGCATTATCCAATCAATTGCAATCAGGAAGATCATTGGTGATAGTAGACAGCCTTGCCTCACTCCCGTCCTCACTTCGAAGGCTTCCGTAAGTTTCCCGTTGTGGATTACTTGGCATGCAGCATTGTCGTATAACTGTTGGATGAGATGTATAATTGTCGATGGGACCCCGTAGTAGCGAAGTAGTTTCCAAATGACCTCTCGATCGACGCTGTCGAAGGCCTTTTCAAAGTCGATGAAGTTGAGATAGAGAGGTGACTGCCATTCCAAGCTTTGTTCAATGATGATCCGTAGAGTGGCGATTTGATCAATACATGATTTGTTTCTCCTGAATCCAGCCTGTTCCGGACGAAGTTTTTCATCTAGGGCTTGTTTGATTCTCTCCAGGATGATGCGACTTAGTATCTTGCTTGGAATGGACAGAAGCATAATTCCACGCCAGTTTTTACATTGACTTAAGTCTCCTTTCTTTGGAAGTTTGAATAAGTAACCGTTCTTCCAATCCTCGGGTACTTTGCCCTCTTTCCACACCTTCTCCAGCAGTGGTGTCATCAAGTCCGCTGTTGTCTCTGGGTCTATTTTCAAAGCCTCTGCTGGGATTCCATCTGGTCCCGGTGTTTTCCCAGCTTTAAGCATCTTGATTGCATTCAGGACTTCTGATTTCGTCGGGGGGTCAGTGTTCACTGGTAGTTCTGCTTCCGTTGTTGGTATTGTTGGGCGTGTTGTAGGTGGCGGACGATTTAGAAGTCTTTTGAAGTGTTCAGCCCAGTGCTTTCTCTGTTCCACCTCTTTGGTGATTGACTTTCCATTGTCGTCCTTTATTGGCTTAATCTGTGTCGAACGTTTGCCCGAAAGGTGTCTAGTTGTTTGGTAGAGTGTGGCGAGGTCTCCTTTGCCTGCAGCTTGTTCTGCTTCGTTTGCCATGGTTTCATAATATTTTCTTTTGTCTTCCCTGGCACTCTTCTTCACTCTTTTGTTCAGTGTATTGTAGCTTGCATTCAGCTCCTGTTTTTGTTGCTCGTCAGTGCACTGGATAATCTTTTGTTTCACTGTCCTTCTCTCTTCTATTAGTTTCCAAGTGTCCGTAGTGAGCCACTGTTTGTCCTGTCTCTTTTTCTGCCTAGAATTTCTATGCAGGTTTGGCTCCACACCGTTTTCAAGTTGTTCCAGTGCTTTTCGACGCTGACCTTTTCGCTGGTGTTGATTTGTGTCTCGGCTTTGTCCTTTATGCTTGCAATGAAGATGTCCTTTGTAGCCTGGTCCTTCAGCTTTTGAGTGTTGAACTTGGCTTGTGGTCTATCTGCAGCTCCTGATTCCCTGAAAGCTTTTAATTTGATTTGGATTGTCCCTTGTACGAGATAGTGGTCTGAGCCAACGTCTGCTCCTCTTCTTGCTTTTGTGTCCAGTAGGCTGCGCCTCCACTTCCTTGAGATTGAGATGAAGTCGATTTGGTTTTTGGTTTGCCCGTCTGGT